ATGTACGGTACAGCAGAATTTATAGAAACATCTGTAAAAAAATAATTTAACAGTTTTATAGTGAAAACATTTTCAAGAATTCAACAGCAAGAATTTTCAAACTGTACCATCATTAAATGAGACACCACATGAATTTCATTGCACTAGAGGAAATGCAAAGCATCTTTTTAATATAAAGACTTACAGAGCACTCTCTAGACAACAGCTGTGTTACAGCTATGAATTCTTTTGGATTTGGTCCAAAGAAACCTGAGTCTCGTTCCAGATAGAATGAAGAAACTGCGCAAAGAACTGTTGTTGCTTTTCTTGCGAAAAGGATTCTCCCCAAATCATTCCTATAGCTAAGTTCTAACACATTTCAAGAGAGTTTCTTCTTCAGTTTGCAAGAATCCATGTTCTGCAAACAAGAAATCATTCCAAAATGATGGAGTGGCAAGTTGTTAGATAGTCACCTCTTCTGTTCCCAGATTTCAGCCATGTTTAAATCTAGAGTCTGAAGCCCTTTCAATGCTTGGAGGTTTCCAGTGTAAAAAGCTACATCGGCTGTGACCAATCTATGCAGAACAGAAATAAACATTCAGGAAATATATTTTCAAACCATGTAGACACTGATATAATTTAAATTGTATGTTGAGTGTTAAGTCCATTTGCTCTAAACCTGACATCTTGTGCTTTATTCTGGAATCTGTGTACTAGAATATAAAACATTTAGTAAACAGACAGTATCACCTTCTGCACATGTTTTTAGAAAAAAATTCAGTTTTTCAGGAATAGAATAAAGGAAAATACTAAGTGATGAGCCCATTCTGTTACCTGGTCAATTTTTTCTACTCAAATCTACTTTTTAGCAACAATTCCAAGTTGCTTCCTTCATGGAGCACTTGTAAATGCTGGTTTCATAGCATGTGAGGGGGAAGAGCCACCTTAAGTTGGGAGCAGATGGTTGAGTGTATTCAAGTCCCCCCCCCCTGCTTATTCCCTTACAGGGAGGGGAAAATACTCCCTCTCCAAAAGGAACTTAGTAGCTTGTAGAGTCCCCCCCCCCCTTTTAGTCTCACAGAAACCATTCAAATCCTCCTAGAACTCTGAGGTTCTGCACATACATTTTGAAAAGCCCTGCAGTACAGCATCTTGGAGATGACCAGCCATGGTTTGAAGATCTCTGGCAAGGGAGAACTCGCTAGGTCATGTGACAGCCCGTTCTCTGGCTGACAGCTCATACAATCAGGAAGTTCCTCCTGATGTCTATAACCTCTCTTAAACTTTAACCACTGATCTGGTCCTGTCCTTTGGGGCAAGAGATAATAAGTCTACCCGTTCCTCTGTGTGACAACCTTTTAGATAGTTCAGGAATGATACATATTTTCTGTAGGCTAAAAACATAGCCATATGTTTTAACCATTCCTCATAGGGTTTGATTTCCAGACCCTTCGTGATCTCAGCAACTCTCCTCTGAACTTGCTCCCATTTGTTACTGTTCTTTTTGAACTATGGTGCCCAGAACTGGACACAATATTGCAAATGGGGCCTCACCAGGGCAGATGGTCTGTAGTTAAGTAAATTAAATCTAGTGCAAAAGTGGAAGGGGGGGTGGAGGAGCAAATACAACAATATCTAAGGTGTTAACTTTTTATGCTGCAACAAAATACATACCAAAAACTAAAAAATAACATACCCATTTTGAGGTCCTCCATCATTGACTACATTTAAGTGGGCCAACTGTCTCTTTAAGTGAAGTTTGTAACTTGCATTAATTCTTAAAAATAACATCTAAAGGATAATACAAAAGTTAGAGTAAGAACTTATTAGAAGGGGTTTATTCTGAAGAATCCATAACCAGCACAAAAACTAAGCATCACTGTACATAAATTTGCAGTTCAAACAACAAATATTGTTTCTAAAGAAACAACTATGACAGTCTACTGCAATGGAAATAACATGAGAAAGAAGCAGATTTATGTTGGAAGGGGGAGGGAAACAGGGTAGGAAATAAGAGGGTTCAAATTACTAAGCAACAGATGTGATGCAAATATTCTGACACTCATTTTAATTTAATTTTAATTTAATTAATTTAATTTTAAGTAATTAAAACATGTAATTTGATAAAAAGCATTTGTCTATATCAGGGTTTCTCAACCAGGGTTCCATGGAACCTTAGGGTTTTGCAAGAAGTCACTAGAGGTTCCCTGGGAGATCATGATTTATTTAAAAAATTATTTCAAATTTCAGCAACATGCTCTTGCAGTAATGAGCAGAGACTGAACAAAACTCTAGTTATAACTCTTTCTGAGCTCTCTAGCAGTGCATTGTAGGACTGTGTTTATTTGGTTGAATTCATTCTTAATTTTTAACACGAGATAGGTGAGACTGTTGATAACAGGTGAATGCTATATTGCAGGAAGGGAGGAATATATTGAAGGAAGGGGAGGG